GTTATGACCAATCAATATATGAAATATGAAGACTTTTTGATAAATACTTTTTAAGATAATCAGCGGAAACAATGTGGTTTAATGACGGATAAACAAACATATTTAAAGTCCCTGTGACATTGACCTTTGATCTAAAGACCCCAAAATCGATAGAGGTCATGATATGTGAAATATAATGACTTACTGATAAATAGTTTTTAAGATAACTGCGGTCTACCGATGGACTGACCAACCGACATTAGCAAATCAATATACCCGCTGTTGTCCGAAGTGGGGTATAATAAAAATAACTTTGGCCGGGAACGAATAAGAAAATTGATGTTCAAATATTCGTTTTCCATGTTCGAATATATTCGAATATTCGTTTTTACAAAATTTGAGAACACATCACCTATGATCAAATCATTTTAAATATCTGAACTGCTAGACACACCAGACTTCAAAACATTCAAACCACGACTCTGTTGATTTGTTCCACAAATAACTTTATTTGTTGGTGTTGTCCAAAGCAATCTCAATCGACAGAATAGAACGTGCTAACATAAAGAAAAAAACTTCCCAAAACGGGCACATTTAATGGTGAATATTTTGCTAGATGCCTGATCAAGAAACGGTGTTTCCAAAACAGGAAGCAGCTTCTTCTTAGTAAAATCTTAAAACATAATTCACTTTCTGATTATTTTAATTTTAGACATTTTAAAAGAAAATGACTCGGTAGGATTTTAGATGTATCTTTTTTGCACTAAAATGTGATATTCACATTGAAGTGGGTTGAAAACTATTAAGCATCCGAAATTTGTCTGAACTACGTAAAAAAGGCCAATAAACTTCCCGATCGGGAAGGATTCTGACGTTTGCTGCCTGATCGGGAAGCTTTGAAGGGGAATACCCTTCTGTCCCGATCAGGAAGTATGCCCGACAGTTAAATAAGTGTGAAGTAGTTAAATCCAAATTACATCCCTCTTAATCACAACATATTTTTCCTCGCCTCAAACGCTCAACTTCAAACATGGCGGGCGACCTGTCGATTCGGATAGCCTAATTTCACGGATGAAGATTGGGCATGGTGTAACGTTTCATCTCCTATAATAGTTTGTTTTTATTTATCAAAGAAAACTATCTTTCATAATTTTATGTTAAAATACTAAAATTAATTAATTAATTGAAATTCTAATATCGTCGCCATCTGAATTTTTTAATCATATTTTTTAGCTCTGGTCATCATGTTTTTATGAGAAATTCGTCTGAAAATTACGCTTAACTTGAATTTAAGCATAACATATTTTTTTTTGTGTTTGTGTGCGCGCATGCGTGTGTGTGCGTGCTTGTCTGTATGTGTGTGATATGATAAGACGTCAAAAGAATATCAACGGTTGTGCGACGCTACGCGAACAAACGAAATAAAGTATCGGTTTTACGACTAGTTAGCTCAATAAAATTGTTTCAACCATTTACTTAAAGCTTACACTCGTCAAAGCCAACACATTTTCATTCGACCTTATCGAATTCGAATCGTCATAGCTTTTCAAATGCTGTGTGTTTAATGATCCATATTTGGCGTATATTCAGAAGAAACATGATATAATTATATGGGTTATGTTAATGAATCTGTCCCTTATAAATGAGTTAAATGAAAATATCTTTTTCGTGTAAATCTTCGTAAAATATGTTAAATTATATTGGATTCCAAGTCATGTAGGAATACGAGGAAATGAAAAAGTAGATGCTTTAGCTAAACAATCATTAAATTTTTAAAAAACTGACTTATTGTTACCTGCGTGTGATTTTAGACCGGCTATAAATAAACTCGTATCATCTGAATGGAAAGCAAATTGGGATAATGCCGTTTTTAATAAACTTCACGATATAAACCCATCTCTTGATGTGTCAAGAAAGGATTATTGGTAACGTTAACGTTAAAATCAATCGCAAAGTTATTCTCTTTTTAATACCAATTATTTTAATGACCTTGAACCTGTTAAAATCAAACACCAGTCGGTACCTTCAAATATTATATATGTCACACTGAGTTGTTCATCTCTAAAACTCCACATGGAAAGGCGATTTCAAACTCGATAGGGGTCATGGGGTCATCTACTAATTATAACCAATCAATAAGTGAAATATAAATGATTTATTGATAAATAGTTTTCAAGATAATGAACGGAAACCATTCTGACATTAAAGAACCCTGTAACATTTAAACTGGTGACCCCAAAATCGATTAGGGTCATCTACCTCAACTACTAATCAACACGTGGAATAGGAAAACTTTGTGATTAATACTTTTCAAGATATTATGCGGAAACAATTTTGACATTTAAGCCCCTGTGACCTTGACTTTGAACTAGTGACTCCAAAATCAAAAAGAGTCATCTACTAGTTATGACAAATAATTCTGTGAAATATGAAGACTTTTTAATAAATAGTTTTCTAGATAATGAGCGAAGACCATTCTAAAATTTAAGAGACCTGTGACCTTCACCTTTAATCTAGTTACCCAAAATCAATAGGGGTCATCTAATAGTTATGACCAATCAATATATGAAATATGAAGACTTTTTGATAAATACTTTTTAAGATAATCAGCGGAAACAATGTGGTCTAATGACGGATAAACAAACATATTTAAGGTCCCTGTGACCTTGACCTTTGATCTAAAGACCCCAAAATCGATAGAGGTCATGATATGTGAAATATAATGACTTACTGATAAATAGTTTTTAAGATAACTGCGGTCTACCGATGGACTGACCAACCGACATTACCAAATCAATATACCCGCTGTTGTCCGAAGTGGGGTATAATAAAAATAACTTTGGCCGGGAACGAATAAGAAAATTGATGTTCAAATATTCGTTTTCCATGTTCGAATATATTCGAATATTCGTTTTTACAAAATTTGAGAACACATCACCTATGATCAAATCATTTTAAATATCTGAACTGCTAGACACACCAGACTTCAAAACATTCAAACCACGACTCTGTTGATTTGTTCCACAAATAACTTTATTTGTTGGTGTTGTCCAAAGCAATCTCAATCGACAGAATAGAACGTGCTAACATAAAGAAAAAAAACTTCCCAAAACGGGCACATTTAATGGTGAATATTTTGCTAGATGCCTGATCAAGAAACGGTGTTTCCAAAACAGGAAGCAGCTTCTTCTTAGTAAAATCTTAAAACATAATTCACTTTCTGATTATTTTAATTTTAGACATTTTAAAAGAAAATGACTCGGTAGGATTTTAGATGTATCTTTTTTGCACTAAAAATGTGATATTCACATTGAAGTGGGTTGAAAACTATTAAGCATCCGAAATTTGTCTGAACTACGTAAAAAAGGCCAATAAACTTCCCGATCGGGAAGGATTCTGACGTTTGCTGCCTGATCGGGAAGCTTTGAAGGGGAATACCCTTCTGTCCCGATCAGGAAGTATGCCCGACAGTTAAATAAGTGTGAAGTAGTTAAATCCAAATTACATCCCTCTTAATCACAATATATTTTTCCTCGCCTCAAACGCTCAACTTCAAACATGGCGGGCGACCTGTCGATTCGGATAGCCTAATTTCACGGATGAAGATTGGGCATGGTGTAACGTTTCATCTCCTACAATAGTTTATTTATCAAAGAAAACTATCTTTCATAATTTTATGTTAAAATACTAAAATTAATTAATTAATTAAAATTCTAATATCGTCGCCATCTGAATTTTTTAATCTTATTTTCTAGCTCTGGTCATCATGTTTTTATGAGAAATTCGTCTGAAAATTACGCTAAACTTGAATTTAAGCATAACATAATTTTTTTGTGTTTGTGTGCGCGCATGCGTGTGTGTGCGTGCTTGTCTGTATGTGTGTGATATGATAAGACGTCAAAAGAATATCAACGGTTGTGCGACGCTACGCGAACAAACGAAATAAAGTATCGGTTTTACGACTAGTTAGCTCAATAAAATTGTTTCAACCATTTACTTAAAGCTTACACTCGTCAAAGCCAACACATTTTCATTCGACCTTATCGAATTCGAATCGTCATAGCTTTTCAAATGCTGTGTGTTTAATGATCCATATTTGGCGTATATTCAGAAGAAACATGATATAATTATATGGGCTATGTTAATGAATCTGTCCCTTATAAATGAGTTAAATGAAAATATCTTTTTCGTGTAATTCTTCTACATTTAAAACGCAATAATTTACTAGATGAATGTCAGTTTTAAAACGGATTCACAAGATATGTTGTTACTTCATGTTACTTTTTGTGCCCCCACTTAAGGGGGGGGGGGGAGAGAGAGGCATTTAGATTTACCCTTGTCCGTCCGTCCTTCCGCCCGTCCGCACTCACTGGACAGTAATAATGAGGCTAGAGGGACAATAGGTAACTGTTCTTTCTTTTTGATGTAATTCATTCCGTAATGTATTTATCTGGCTATTTTCTTTTGTGTGGCTAAAAACAAACAATAGAGAGAACAATAGAGTAGCCACATAATTACTCTCCTGTTAGAACTTCCGTCCTTCCGTCCGTTCTCTTTTGTGTCGCACATAACTCAGAAAGTATTTGATCTCGAGTCATGGAACTTAACAGGATTTTTGATCAGCATGTGCAGTTGTGCACCTTGGTATTTTCCTGTGGATTTATTCAGTATTTATAGAGTAATTGCCCTTGACTTAGTAAAAATTTGCAATTTTCAACTTGTGTCGCACATAACTCAAAAAGTATTTGACCTAGAGTAATGAAACTTAACAGGATTGTTGATCAGCATGTGTAGTTGTGCACCTGGGTATTTTTGTGTTTATTTATATGGTAATTTATTTAGTTATTGCCCTTGACTTAGTAAATTTTGCAATTTTCAACTTGTGTCGCATGTAACTCAAAAAAAGATTTGATATAAAGGTTATTGCCCTTGACTTTGTAAAACATTTGCTGTAAAATATAGGGAGTGTTTCATATAATGCAGGTTAAATCTGCAGGAAAAGGAAAAACTTTCAAGCTATCACGAAAAGTACAATTTAACTTCTATGGTAATCATTCCATCTTAATCAAGTCTCAATATACGAGTACATGTTAGAGGTGTCCATTTTGAAATTTAAGGGAATTAGTACACACAAGTAAACAGGTAAGCAAATATAACCAAAATAATTTTAAAGGTGTTCCTTCATAACAGGAATAGCGGTTCAGTTTTCAGGAAATAGTATAACAAGCACAAATAATAGTAATACTTCGTTATTACAACCTCTTCTACACATGAAACATCAATCTTGAAAAAATTAAATTAAATACTTGCTAAGGTAAAAAGCTGTAATAATAAGTATACTCGGGATACGAACGAATATTTTTTGTCGTCTGATTAAACGAATACTGCGTATGACGAAAGAAACATTTACAATCGAGAAAAGTCGAATAAATAAACATTTGTGGTCTGCTAGGGTTGCGCATGATACTATTGACTGTATACGAATGTATCCTTTAGTATATAAATATCATTTATACAAGGAACGATAAATATATAAATAGGATCCTTACATTAATGTACTAATACGAACATAAGCCGGTCGAGTTGCCATCTTGACATGTATCCTTCTTTATTTCAATTGTGGAATAATTAACAAGAAAACACATTTTACTTTGAAATCAGTAATGTAATTTGTATTGAAAATAAACATTTTAAATGGATTAAATCCTTCATTGAACAAGTGTCAATACAAAAAATCATTACCGTTACGCAACAAAAAATAATAAATAAATCATGTTCAAATTGCATTATAAAGAATTAGTTTTTAAAAAAACATTAATTCTAAAGACACAAAATCGTAAATAAATGACGAGATATATCTAATATTATTCTGCAGTCTATGGGGCATGATGAACTTATCAAAATTATAAATTCAGCAAAAAAGGTAGTGGAAGATTTTTTCTGTCAACACACCAAGTAGTCTCTTTCGAAAAAAAATCAAATTAAAACATATTGATCCAATCATTTGCAACATAAACGCTTTAAACTATGTAATAAGTGCATCTGAAATTTAATTTGTAAGGGAAAATATCATACGTGACGGTAATGATTTAACGTAACGGTATTTACATAGCACGTAACGGTAGTGAAATCAACAATTTAAACGAAACTGAAGCAATATAGCACATTTAATGTCCAGTTGATTATACATTTTAAATGTACACGTAATCAACCTAGAGGAATGTTCATTTGATAATTAGATTTTTTTTCACAGATTAAGCTCTTTCGCCACTAACTTCCACATTGTTGGTGGGATTTGGCAATGTCTTGATGTAACATGTTCCGGTTTGTCCGTCAGAAGTGTGAGAACTTGTTCTTTGTTATACCATAAGACATCATCGATCATAGGCCAAAAATATCTGTTATTACCTACTCTGTGCATTGCCTGAAGAATAAATAATATGAAGTATAAACATGTACATACATAATTATTACGTAATTTAGAATTATGTCAATTATATAAATAAGACACGAGCACATTTTGGTGCATTTTGGTAAATGAGAATTTTGTACCTTAACTTCTATTTCGTCCTCATCAACATCAAGAATAACTCCTGGGAAAGGGAGTCCATCGTATTGTACAACAACATATCGACCAATTAGATTTTCCTCAACAACAGATACTTTGTTCAGCTGCACAACATCAACATTTTTCTCTATGAGTTCCGACATTGTCACCTGAAGAAAACATGATAAAATCATAAAGCGCTGGTTGATGTCCAACAAACGTATATAATCATGACAACTTCATATTGGGACTTTGTTTGATAACTTGAGTTTACATGTGCAATGCTTTGCAAGCACTCTTCATTCTTCCTTTACAAATTCTAAAATATGTTTGTAAAAAAGTTAAATATTTCACAATAAATTGTCACAATTTTTTCTATCTTGTTTTGTCATATCTTAATTTAAAATATATACCAAATAATTGATCATACCTTAAGCTGAGGTACAGTATGAACATCAGGTTTGAAGCAATTGCACTGTAATTTGGTCGGGTGTTCACAGAAACACGACAGCACTCTAGATGTGAATGAATGTGGTTCCTCCAATACAAGCTGTAAATTAAATTGATTTTGTAAGTATACTGCATAAAATGAAAATAAGTATTACTTTATTACTCATATGCAAATAATTTACTACTTATATTGTTTTGTATTATTAACAGATTAGTTATTGCCATAATTAAGCTACATATGTATGTGTGTGTGCGTGCGTGTGTGTGTGCATTTATAAGTCTGTGTGTGTTTGTGTGCTATTGAATCATCTAATTTTCTAGTCCTTAGATATTCAAAATGCCAAGTATTTGAAAAATTAAGATATTTACCTGGTGAATTTTCATAGTGCCTTGCAAAGGGGATAGGTTTTCTGGAACATCTTCATCTATCTCACAGATCTTCTCTTGAGGTATAAGGAATAATTTAACTGACGTTGTGTCCTGTATTAAATTTATGAAATCTTTTGCACATGTTATGTCTAATTCTTTAACAATTATAGCTTGGTCAGCAGCTCGCTTCACTGCTGCCCCAATACCATCTGCAGGTCCCTTGCCATGTGCAGCTTCTAAAAAGTTCCATGTTGACATTTCAAAGCCATATTTTTGAATTTTTGTTGTCCAAAGATAGAAATTCTGTTTATTTCTATATTGGGTTGTAGGCCCGTCACTGACAAAATGGATGCGTTTGTATTTTTTGCCAGTAGTAACATGATTCAGCACTGGTTCAAGGTGTGCCCATATTGCTGCTGGGTCATGTCTAGGGCTATCAGCTACAGTGCAGAATGGTATTATGTTATCTTTAGTGTAAACAACACCTGTGTGAAGTGAAATGAAGTTTCGTGAACCACCGAAATGCATTGCTTGAATTTCGTGTGCGTATTTGCAAGCGTAGTTTTCAGAAAAATCAATATGTGCTATCAATTCTTCATGTGTAAGGTTTCTTCTCAGATAATGTAGTGCTTTGTACTGATTTCTTATATTAAAAATGTGCCTACACGCCCTTTGCATTTCGTCGTTTATTTCCTTTGCAAGAATTAGTCTGGTACCTTGCTCTTGCTGTTTTACAATTTTTGTTACAATTTTTGAGTTTTCATTTTCATTGACTTGCTCTCGCTTTGTCTTCCATTCATGCCAGGTGGTTTGCTTATATAGATCTGTTTCCTTCGCCATGGCTAAAGGTATTTTAAGATCTTTACATTCATTGCATTCTCTGTACATGCATTCTTTGCTTGTATCCTGGCATACAATCGTTTTGATTAAAACGTTTAGTTCTTTTGTCTGGACTAAGCCATCTTTGCATGCAGCGTGTAATTTCAAGTTTAAGTTATCATGAATTTTACACATACACGTTTTTCTATCCTTTTCTCGGGGTTTGATTACCCAGAATGGTCTAAGCTTGCAAAACAAACTGTATGACATTGAATTATTCTCCGATAGATACTTAGCGTGCAATGTTTTCAGGTCGTCAGCTAAAAATCTGATCTGTTTCTTTGTCCCGTTTCTAGTGATGGTTGCATTTTTATCAGCAGTAATTCGCGAAACATCATCTCTTTCAAAATACTCGTGTAATTTTCGTTTCATTCTAAGAGTTTTTATGTTAGGCTTACGAAGAGGTTTTTGTTCAAGATGTCTTCGAGATATTGCTAATGTTGTATTTGCAAATGTAGTTAGACCATATTGCTTTAATATTCTTTTCCTTGTAACATACCCTGCTATCAATCTTTTTTCTTTATTTGTCTTAGCCATTTTGTATCGTTGTCTTATATTGTTAATCATTGTATTGTACAGCAGGAAGGCCTTCACAGGAAATTTATTTTTTTCTTTATCATTTCTTTGTATCGGGTCATACTTATCAATGCCATGTACCTTATGTTTAAGACGGTTGTATCGTTTCTTGTATTTTTCGGTAAGGCGTTCCTGAAACTTGAGCTTTATTTGTAATGTTTTGTTTTTACGATAACACTTAGCTTTGTCATTTTTTCTCTTTCGTGCATATCGTTTTTTCATGCTGCTTGATCTGTTGTTTTCAAGATTTTCCGCTCCTTGGTCATTTTCATATAATCCATGCTCAGGAGAAGTTGGCGGAGTAATCAAGTTATTTGTAACATTTCTTCTTTGTCTGTAATATTTAGAGTTTTCCCTCCAGCGCTTTCGTGTGAGCCTTTTTTCACGAGCTGACATATCTTCTATTGTCTTTAACTTTCCCTCTTCTCGACGTCTTTTGTTACGCTCTCTCTCTTTTTGTTTGTATCTGGCATGGGCATCTGGGTCTGCCCGCTGTTTCTCGCGCCAACGCGCCATACGCTCTTTTGCTGTGAGTCCCATTGATGCAGTTGTTTTGTTTTTAATTTTATTAAGTCTTTAGTGTCTGCAATACAATCAGCTAAGTCGCAAACACGTTTCCCCCAGTAAATATCCTTTTCCTCGTCTCGAAGATTTAATAAGCTGTAGAAAATGCGCTGTGTGTTTCCTAAATACCGGTCAGTGCTGTTCAATATCACTTTGAACCCTGAAAGTATTGATGATATAATTTAGGAAGAAGGTAAACGTTATTTATTTAAACTTGTGTTATTTTCTATATCTATATTTATATCTGATTATCATTACCGTTACGTCAAATATCACTACCGTTACATACTACTATCACAATTTCTGTAACGGTAGTGATTGTAACGGTAGTGAGTATAAACAAAATATTCCCCGTTGTAGAGCCTCTCTATATCACAATGTTTACTATTATACTAGCTACGAGTTTAATTCGGTATGTTCAAACAACAGTAGCAAAAATATTATTATGTTACTAAAGCAACGATCTTAAACATATATAACGGTAATGATATTACTAAAAAGCACGTTTTATATGCATATATTTACCTTTAATTTTGTCATCTAGATCGTCCGCCATTCTGGTGGCATCTTCTCTGCTTTTAAAATATTCGCGCCAATAAACTTGTTTACGTCATCAAATGAAGAGTTATGAAAAGGGAAGTTACTTTGAGGTTGTTCTTTGGATTATTGTAACGGTAGTGACGCGTATTTTTTCTTGAAAGGGACATTTTCCCTGAACACTTTTTAGAATATTAGCGTAAATATATCATTTTAATCTCATAATATTCGTAAAATTTGTTGATAAAACATTAGAATTTCAACTATATTTCACGTTGACATTGTATATGCACAAAAATACAATCATTTTAATTTGTGTATTTCTAAATCGGGACATTTTTTTTCTATATGAAAAAAAGTATGAATGTTCACAATATTGTCAAATTCTTAAAATAAAAATATTGAAAGACATGTAAAATATTATCTTTCAGTAGAATTAGGATTACAAATATACCTTTGAGAATTTAAGTATTTATTTTTCAAATTATATATTTAAGGAAGATCAGGGACATCAAATGTACGTTTTTTGTATATTGACCGAAGCACGGAGAAATTTATCGTAACATTTTAAATAGAAAACAGGTAAAGACCATTTCAGCAGTGTACACTCGTCATAACACATGTGATCGATACGGCTTCGTATACGTAGGGCTGGCACTGATTAAGGAAGCTTAAACATTTATATTTATGCATGATTGTAAACTGTTTTATAATGTCAAGGTAAATGATTTTTCATTTATGATTTAAGTGACGACGGAACGAATATATATTTCAAGCTGTTTTTTTTTCTCTCTTATAAAAGCAAATGAGTACAATAACCATTTTAGATACAAGTCTGTATCCTATTTAATATTATTGGCTGGATTGCACTGGTGCAAACCCAGGTTATAGTATGGTGAATGTCGGGGCGGGCGTTGGGCGGCGGAAGGGGGAAAACTTTTCGTAACAGTTTTCTCAGCAACTACTTATAACAGCCTTTTAATATTTGGCATACAGCATTGACATGTGGTCCCATACCGTGGGATTTGATTTTAGGTCTGTTGCTCGTCCACTTCCTGTTTACTGACTTAGTTAAATTTTCGTCATTAATGGTCAATGGTAGGAAATTTTCGCAACAAGTTTTCTGAGCAACTACTTATCACAGCCTGTTGATATTTGGCATACAGCATTGACACGTATATATAGTTCCATACCTAGGGATTTTATTTCAGGTTTGTTGCTTATCCACTTCCTGTTTACTGACTTAGTTTTATTTTCGACATTAATGGTCAGTGGTAATTTTTTTCTTAACATCACAGCATCATGATATTTGGTATACAAATGCAACCCGGCCTTTTCTGTCTTTGACCCATTTTTGTAAAAAAATTAAGATTGTAAAAAGTAATGACCCCCTTTCATAATTCGATTTAATTTAGTTACGTCAGTTGTAAGAAATAATATATCACAAACTGTGATTTTATCGCTCAATAAAATCACTGTTTGAAATTCGGATGCAAGGAATTATATCACGAGGGCGTAACCCGATTCATATAATGATGCGCATCCGAACGATAAAGAGTTATTTTATCAAGCGATAAAATCACCGATTTGGATATATTATTTCGATTCTAACACGACATCAACAAAAAAAGCTGCCGTATCTGATTGTGATTTGTTTTCGTACTTGTTTTCAGCGCGACAAAGTTTTAGTGGTTACGTCACATGTATAAAATGATTACGTCACATGTCTAAATATAGAACGTCGACAGTGATTTTGTTACATAATAACACACACTTTCAGTTCTTCCATGTTCAATGGGGAAAATGCGAGTTGTGTTAGAATTTCTCGTATAGAATATGCATAATTTACCTCCCTCTAAATTGAATGAATGATCCTATCAACTCTTATTGAATGTTTCATTGTAACAGCTGTATGAAAACATCTACGGATTTAATTGAAATTACATTTAAAGTACTTAACATTAAGTATATTGTTTAACACTTGATCATTTTATTTAAAGAATACCAGTGTAAGATCGAATAATTTCCTGTTTTAATTCTATCTAGTTTAATATTCAGTTAAAAAAGGCAATTTATTAAATAAAATAAAGCCAAAAATAAGTGTTTATAATTGTGGTATTTCATATTTAATAGAATTTGATGGCATAATATACAACGCATTAATTATCATAACTAATGATGGCGCGTGTGAATGCGTGCTTATAGTAATTAGGTAATAAACACACTGGATTGGCACGTATACAGCTATGCTGCGATATTTCATGACTTAATCAGATGTTCCAGTCATGAGTTTAAGTATGGGCACCGAATTCTGTTAAGATATGACTTACAAATTTAGAATGTGGTCCTGACCCTTTCTGTAAGATAAGAAATATTTGTCTGTTTTGGCTTGAGTGTGAAAGTTACTCTTATAACAACTTTTGGTAAGTGCTTGAATAATATTAAACTAAAAAATCAAGCAAACTAAATTAAATACATATTTTATGCAACGTCTGTCACATAAGAAGAATAAATGGTTATAGGGTCCTGTCTGCTAATGTTTATTCACGGACATATTATTAGTTCTATTTTGTGAATTAAACGGATATCAACGATGCAACAGCAGGAAACACATAACCCGATAAAAATTCATTTTATAAGACTATATCACGTGCTTGACTAGATATCAATGACAAGTCTATTATAAATGAAAACATCATTTATTTGTAATTAAGACCGTTTCGAAGGATGCAATAACAAAATGACTAGCAAAAACGTAAAACAATTGAATATATATTGTATCAGTTATTTCGGTTTATAAAGACTAAATATAAGATAATTAATTTACAATCTAAGTCAATACATTTCTTACTCTCGATGTTATCGGTTCCTTTTCAGTTTGTCAACAGATGATGAGGCTTTCTGTTCTTACGGCTTTATTTGTACCTTGTCTCTCGCTTCAAGAGGTAATTAAGTCATCAAAAACTGTGTTATGTTAAAAATTACATACACACAATTCTATCACGTTTTTCATAAGTCGGTTGCGAAGCAGTAGACTCTTATATTATTTTGAATAAATGCATGAATAACTGCGGAATGAAACGATTTATTTTGCGAGTCGTCAATAAAAATACAAGTGCATGGGAAAATTTCTTCCACGAAGCTCAACAAAATTTAACAAATCCTTTTTTAGCATATTGGATTTTGATGCCTAACGGCCTTCATGATTATTTACTACAATTTAATGTTGAAACAGGCGTAATGAGCTATTTTTAATTTAATGTGAATCAACAAGATTGGAGAGGGTGAAAAACACGGTGTTCAAGTTAAATGTTGACCATGTGGTAAATGCTCATAGATTTTGAAACAAATTTTGCATTTTTGTTTTTATAGTAAAGAAAAGAAAATGTAAAGAAATTACTGATAAAAATATTAAGAGACATATAAACGTTCCTGTTAATATTACAAATTTGTTTATGCAAACTTTTTTTTCAGATTTGTAAATTAAATTTAGGCGGCTTTTGTATATTTCTACAAATATCTTGTTTTACAGACGCACCATTTTCTTCTGACGGATGATGGAAAGTCCATTCATCAGGATGTCATATACAATCAGGAGGACAATACTGTTTTGGTCATCGTGGGAGATGTATCCATGTACAAGAATACAATCCCAACCATCAATTATCATGATTATGATACGGTAAGAGAGCACAAATACCGTTTCTTATAAATAAAGTATAAATACTGTATAATCAAAATTGCATTATCAGAGAAGTAAGTTTAAAATTATACCAATCATTGCATTAACATATGATTATGTCTGAAACGTTATTTTAGGGATATGTTGTTTTCAAAGACATCAAACATCAAATGTGTTCATTGTCAAGGGTACCAATTCCAAAACCACCTCTTGAAATTTATAGACAGGTACGTATTTGTACATAAGAAAATTATATTTATACATTTTACTCACTTTGAATATAATATAGTTACACATATAATATTTGTGACATATTTTATAGGTATTTCTAAGACAAAATGTACATGTCCTACAGTTTATTATATACCGTTTATTTTGAACATTATGATTTTTTGTGTAACAAATAACAGTAAAGTCTATATTCGAATTATTTCCCTTATAAAAATGTTGTGATTGTTTAGTTAAATAGACATCTATTTATAGGGTGTGTCAAATGTAACACTGCGATTTACCGCAAAGCATGACCCAACTTCTCTAACGTACTCAGAAGTAAAAGAGAAAGCTGGATTAAAGATTGCGGAATTTTGCAAAGATTATGTTACATTTTACCAAACTTTGATTCCAAAGAGGAAAAACAAAAGAAGTGGTAAGAAAAAAATAGGTATTTTTTGAATTTATTTAGTGAATTTTATTGTTTATCTTTATTTTGTAAGGCGTATTTTAGTGGAACAATGGGCAATGACATGCGAAAACAAAATACTTTTTAAAACTGAATGAACTGAAATAAATGCTGTACTGAAATAGATGCTGAACTTTTGATAAAAATGTAACTGTATAAACCGAAATAAATGAGCACTGCAATTTTGATAAAAGTGCTATTGTTTGCACGTACATATAGAAAACATATGATAACGGAACAAAACTTTGCACCCGTAAGCTGTACCTTTTTATATATAATTTGCATTTTTAAAGCTTTTGAAAGAATTGATGGAACCAAATAGAAAAGTTATAATTTATACTTTTTAAAATTGGCTCTATCGGTAATATTAATTACGTAAAACACAACGCGCCGTATAATGTATGCTGTGGCAAAATTATGCTTGGCTTTATCATAATGATATGATCTTCCAACTTGCGTGCCATTACTTTGAATAGCCTGAATTATTTTTAAGCCTAATTCGATACTTTGCACATGTAATTTTCAGAGAAAATTGCAGAGTCTCCATGTAAGTACACACTATGTACATGTATAAAATGAATATCACCAACTTATGAACAATTCTCTTTATATGAAACTTAAAAATATTTTTATCAAAGAAAGCTGTTACAGTAATAGAATTAGATATACTTTAAATATTGAATATCTAAAACAAAATCACACGTTTTCTAAACAAAAATATAACACGAGGAAACACTTGCTTTTTTCCACTAATTGTTTTGTAAGTTGTCATTACATATACGTTAATGTTTGGAAAAGTTCTGTAACTGAATGTCTATTATTTTTCATATATAAAAATGCACTAAACTGTGAGTTTCTGATAAAACTCTATTTTGTATTGCCATTATATCGTCATATATTACATTTTGCAGGTCACTTTATTTGTGGTTTTTGTGTTCTGGACTCTGACCATCCAGACCCACACAAAAATAACAAAGACAAAATAAATTTTGGATAATTTAACCCTGCTACATGTATCATTGCTGTAACGTTGAAAAAAAAACAACAATAAACTGCATGTTTTTCATTTTGTTTATTTTGTCATCTATTCTATTAAAAATATGTTACGTAAACATGGCTTTTGAGTAAGTATCATTAGCAGAGGTTTTTTTTCTAACCCTTTTATGCCTACGTTACTGTTTTATTTTCAACAGTCAACCTAACATAAATAAGGCCTTTGCAAAATCATACCCAAAATTAGCATTGTGAAACTATTCATGCCCAAATCTTTATCAACAAGATTGATACACTTACATTTGATTAACTATGCTTTAAACTTATTAACAGCAGAAAAAATAAACTGAGAAAATCCCTTTCATATAAGCTCACCATTTCACTTTATATAGTGAGCAGTGACGAATTTCATTCATAAAATCCGATATTTTTTGGAGATGATGAAAGGCTAAAATTAGTTCACTCGGAAAGCTGATTCTACATGATCTTCACTAGCTGATCATATCTAATAATAACTGAGCTGTGCCAATGACCTGGACTGTTTCAAAAAAGAAATGTTGGCCAGATATACCAACCTAAAAACAGTACTTCTTTTCAAATTTCACAGTATTGTAGCTATTATTTATGTTTACTGTCGAATTTGCTGTTCATAAAACAATACATAGATTTTCGGAAATTCACAATGTTAAGGTCTTCTAGTTATTTATAGCTTTTGAATTCATATACAGCAATACTGCTTTCCTGTTCTCATTCACTAATATGACATGCTGCGAATCACCGAAGGGGAAACTTATATATGACTTGACATAATAGAAATCTCAAGGAGTTCGTGAATCCGAATTTATTTTTAGCTGTTAATCGAAGGGATTAATTGTTAAAAACAGGCCCATGGACAAAAATAGTAAACACAAATAGCTCCGCACCTGTGGGCGCGGAGCAATAAAAGCAATTCTAAAAAGATATTATAGTATATAGCTGTAAAGATATCGTTAATCAAGTTAAGATAAAAATGAAAGACAAACAACTTGGTTTTACTTATATATCTAGTTAATACAGTTTTAGATACAGTAATATTACATGTTTTTGTTTGTAAATATATGGAAAAAAGTTATCCCTCGGAAGCATTAAAACAGCAAAATTACATGAAGATTGCAGACTCGGTTTGATTGAGTCTGTACCTGAGGGATAATAAAAAAAATGCCATATCCCTCACGCTCCTAGTACTTAATTCTCAACACTTAAGAAGTCACAATTACACTTGTGTAGAACCACTGAATTTACGTGAGCTTACTAGATAACTTTTTGACCTCACAATCATGAAAATATCCAAAATCGGTCGGGATTTTAACATACAGCACTGAGGAGCAACTTATCTCTATATAGTGTCGATCCCAGAGGCACCAGATTAATATTACACTTACATTACACTAATGTTACTCTTTTTTGTATAATGCTAAGTGTTTGAAAATGAAATATGAATTATAGATGAATTGGAGAATGTTTCTGGATGTATTTGTAAAGGAATTATTGATAAATAAAGAAGCATAAAATAATTAAAGTATCATTATTGAAAACATGCTTGAGGCTGGAGCTTTACACCACATAGAGAGTGGTCAGATTATCTCATTGACTTGTAACTACAATGCTTTTACTAAAAACATAAAAATATTTTTAAATCTTTGATGATATTTTGTTGTTTAATGAGTTTTTATTGTTATATTTTGAACAAAAAAATGCAACAATTACATGTTTGACAATGGACCATAAAAAATACTTATCATTTATCGTGTTAGGGCGTGTTTGTTACCATAAGATATTAACTAATGTTTGTTTGTTTGTTTGGATTTTTACGACACGTCAACACATAACTGGCCATATCGTGTCGAATGCTATAATAGGCTTAAAATGTTATGTAAAGCTTTGTAAATGACAATAAAAATGAGCCAATTAGATCCTAGAATACAAGTTTATCTCTTTCAAAAAATTACTGATGTTTTTTAAAGAGTTATTTGAGTGAATTAACAGAATAAAATCTATAACGGGCCTGTGAAAATCATGACTTATGTAATAGACCCCATGAGTTAATTTTTCATTTCTCTGTTTCACTATTAAGATGAGAAGATATTACCGATTGGCTTAAAAATCATAACAAGAGAAAAAAGCTCAAATTGAAGCAGTTGTATCGCTTTAAATAACCTCTAACATAAAGATCATATCGAGGTGTTTCCCTTATGTCTTTATTGTCGACCCTCTTGCTCCACAGATCTGATACTAATTTTTAATCATTCCCATTGGGTCAATATATGGCCGACCAGGCAATCATTTAACTTCTATAGACTTATACGATAGGAAAATTATATTGTTGCAGACTGTCGTTTAGTCCAATTCTCCCCATACTTCACATGCAAACTTGCATTTGGCAAACACTAACATTGTTGTATTGAGTTTGTTCATGGGATATAGTGAAAAGTGGAATATTTTTTTTTGGCCCCAAAAACCTACTAAAGCGGGTTTCAATTCCCATCAGTGAAAGGAATAGAATCAATTCTTATCCAACAGAACCAGAAAATATAACAACCATATAAAAAAGAACGCAACAATTTTTATAATTGTCACATAAAACTTAATACTAACTGTTGTGAGAATAAAGAGAGAAAGTATGTCCAGTCAAATAAAAGACACATGTTGACTTGATTATGGCAAACTTACACACCTGAAGACATGGCTGATGATTTCTTTAAAACGAAATACTTTCATATAATATCTCTGGCATTTGAAACAGGTTTATACGAGACCAATAAGAAAGCCTGCAAACTCTTGTTTCATATGTTATAAAAATTATAAATCTAAGTTAGTATTTGTAATGATATTAATGTTTCATAAACATTGAACAATGAAAAACCTTCAAAGTTTAACATTTTTTATATTTAAAACCATTTTAAAAACATCGAAACCATTTTCACTTTACCTTAGTTTCATTTGTCCAACATGCTCTGAAATTTAACGTTAAAGAAATCTAAATGACACTCTAAATAGTGTGGATATCAAATGAACATTTCCTCCAAAGAATGACAATGCTCATAATTTATGTAAAATAAAAAATGCAAAATAAATCACTTGTGAAAAACAGAAACACAATTTTAAATATCAAAAACAAACACACCCACGGGCGCGTTCCCACATAAGCACGCACATACACAATGACGTTTGTGTAGAATGAAAACATCTCAACGTAGCCAATTTATTTTTCACTTTACAAATAAAGTCAAGAAGGAAAATTTGCATGCACATTGTAACAAGAATATTGCAGTCTTGTTATCCTGCAACGTAAAATATGTTTAAACACATCAAAACAAGTTAATTCAAATACAAATTCCGTGGTCGAGGGGTTAGAGTCGATGACTTCTGATCCAGTTACCTCTCTGGCGTGGGTTCGATCCCCGGGAGATGCTTTGGTAGTTAAGCGCGGGGGAAGGTAGTCTAGTACTGGTTTAACTCTCCAGGAACGATGGTTAGGAAACTACCCGCCTATATGACTGAAATACTGTTGGAAAAAGGCTTAAAATGAAACAAACGAACAAAACAAAACAACTTCACAACTTCGTGACAGCAAAGTGTGACCTTAGTGGTAAGTCATATAAATTCTATCACATTTTTATAAATACAAATTTTATATATAGGTATGGACATTAATTGCTTTTTTTCAGTGTGTACTCTTAGTATGTTATATTTTTCAAGATTTTTCAAGATATGGAGGCGCCATGGTCTTGGAAGCAGCGTAATTCTAGAGTGAAGTATGGTTTAATTAAATTGATGGGGTTCTTTTGTGTTAACTTGAAGCACCAATATGTGTTTACAAAATAAAATATCATATATTTGTAAAGCGTCCTTACAACTGATCGCTTAAAAAGGCTTTAATTCTTGCGAATGTTTCCAAAAGCTGATTTGACCCATTGTTTTAAGACTGGTTAAGAATTGAATAAATTTCAGATGAAGATGAAGATCAAAGTAAACCAAAAAATGTTCAAATCAGCATGTTGTGAACGTAATTTCAGTTCAAGATTGTACATGCAATTCTAGTACCAGAAGCATCAAATACGCGGCTCGAATGTTCGTACAAAAACGTATGATTGAAATTGAAACTGTGATACCTTTAATGGAGAAAAAGTGTGCGCATTGTGCTGTTTATACCATTATCAAATCCGTTTAAAAAATAAGAGAACAAGCTTGAAAAATATGGCATAGTATCGGTTAGTTAATGCGCCACCTTCAACTCCGTATCATTTTAAATGTTACAATAGAGTAACACAGAATCCCTAAAGGAAGTCCAACACAACAAAATTGAAAATGTTGCGGGCTCGGTTTGATTAAGCCTGTTCACAAGTCAAGTGGGATTGCATTCCTAGTAGACGCTTGGCTAGCAAACCCCCCCCCCCCCCGGTATTTTTGTACACCTATATAGTATTGAAGCTTAGGGTATGTGCTATCGATTGGCACTTGTTGTTTAGCTGAAACGTTTGCCATGAATCCAATAGAACAAGTTGATTATCTCCCCTTGAATCATATTTTTTCTATATAAGTTTTATAAGATTTCTTCAGATATCTTCTCTATGACAGAGTAAATTTGTGATCTAAACATTATTTTGAGTTGTAAATATATATGTTTTATGTTTTATACAAAAAGTTTTAAGTTTGAACATAAAAATAACATACTTAATGGTGTCCGCCATTTTTAAATGGCCGCCAATTATTGAACAGATAAACAATTCATAACAATATTTAATGTGTTTAAACTTAAACCCATTTATACATAGTTTGATGTAATAATTAATTATATATGATATGCTTAGTTAAACAAACTCTATTCTAGGTAGAATTTTAAATGTTGTGCTCTTGAATATTATTTTAATCTTATAGAGATATGAACCATAAATATTTGGGGTCGATTTGAGCTGCCTTCAAATTTTGAGAAGATACTTTTAATTGAATTTCATGCGAATATTGACATTTTGTCCTCTCTAGAAACTTAATATACTCTCACTTATATCAAAAACAATTTGAAAAGTTGGTAGT